ATATATAAAGAATTAATTATTACTACACTGAATAAAAATATAAATGCAACACTTTTGTTTTTGCTCCCATTTTTCATGAGATGAACTCAAAGATCTAAAACATTTTCTATATACACTAAATAACCATTTATCTCAAATATTGTTCACAAATCTGAAAAAATCTGTGATAGTGAGCACTTCTCCTTTGCCGAGATAATCCATCCCACCTCACAGGTGTGGCATATCAAGATGCTGATTAGACAGCATGATTATTGCACAGGTGTGCCTTAGGCTGGCCACAATAAAAGGCCACTCTGAAAGTGCAGTTTTGCTTTATTGGGGGGGTCCGAAAACCAGTATCAGTCAGTATCTGGTGTGACCACCAGTGCAACACATCTCCTTCGCATAGAGTTGATCAGGTTGTTGATTGTGGCCTGTGGAATGTTGGTCCACTCCATCTGTGGCATTGTGCTGTGTGATGTGGCCTTTTATTGTGGCCAGCCTAAGGCACACCTGTGCAATAATCATGCTGTCTAATCAGCATCTTGATATGCCACACCTGTGAGGTGGGATGGATTATCTTGGCAAAGGATAAGTGCTCACTATCACAGATTTTTTCAGATTTGTGAACAATATTTGAGAGAAATGGTTATTTTGTGTATATAGAAAATGTTTTAGATCTTTGAGTTCATCTCATGAAAAATGGGAGCAAAAACAAAAGTGTTGCATTTATATTTTTGTTCAGTGTATGTATATCTTCTAAGTGCTGATACATATTGTTGACCATTACAGAAATCTCACTAAAACTGATCATTATTTTGTATACCACAGTCATGTACACAAGCAGGTTCTCCATAGCAGCTGCAGTAGCTGAGGCTGTGTAAAGGGATGCTAACAGTTGCTAGACGGTGCAGTATCTCTGAGTGGAGGAGAATATGGCCAGCCTGTGTTCACATGAGATCATACAGCTGGCTCCATGGGGTCCAGCAGATGTATCCTGAGGCCTGAGTCATTTAAAGGGGAAGTGTGAATCATCAGTAATAAACCCCCTCACTCACGCAGGGACAGTGTTTCTATTTTTATCTAAAACCTTCATTCAAAAAAGGTTTGAAATGATGATTGCATCAATGTGAGAATAAACAGCTTCTTTTTGCTAAAGGAAACCTTTCCATCCCACCAGGATTCAGTGAATGTGTCCGACCATGGCTCAGAGGTGTGAGGCTGTTAACAGCTCAGAATTATCGTTGCAATTATCCATCCATAATAATGCGATCCATGTGGCACCTTCACTTCTCCTCTGCAGTCATCACACATCATTGGTGGAACAGCGCTGTTAAAATCACCTTGTGTTAGAGCTATACTTTGTTTTGCAAGATTTCATATTTCAACTTTTATTTTCATGCTGTTCTGTAGAACCACCTTGCCGTGTTTCCTATATTCATATTGTTATTAACTTAATGACATTTAGCTGATGCATTTATCCAAAGCAACTTACACACAGTTCAATACCGTAGACATGCCTTACGGGAGCAGTTAGAGGTTCAGTATCTGGCACAAGGGTACTTTGACACGTGCACTGCAAGAGGTGGTATTGAACCGGTAACCTTCTGATTTGGAGATCAGTGCACTAAGCTTCATTTATTTGTTATAAAACTCCCAAAATAGGCAAGTCAAGCAATGTCATCACCTCTACTTCCCCCTTTCAACACTGTATCTGCACTCTCTGGCCCAAAACAAGAAACAAAACAAAAATCTCTACACTATCTCAAATAAAACGTATATACAAAATGGAAAGAAGGAAAAAGACGAGACTAAATAGATAAAGGGATTTATGTCGAAGATAATTGTCACACCTCATGACCTCAACACTTAACGCAACAATGTGGTCTGGAAAACCCTTTCAGTTTTACTCATTTTACTGTTAATGTTGTTCATGAAGCCTTATCTAAGTTAGATCCTAAGAAACCGGCTGGCCCGGATAACGTAGAACCTTTATTTTTAAAGATAGCTGCAGATTTTATTGCTCTTCCTCTCACTACTCTTTTTAACCTCTCCCTCAGCACAAATGCAATTCCAAAAATATGGAAGTCAGCTTATGTCTTGCCTTTACTAAAAGGAGGGGAGGCAACTATTTTAAATAACTATAGGCCAATCTCTAAATTGTCAGTTCTGGCGAAGGTGCTCGAACGCCTAGTGAGTGAGCAAGTAAAGGAGTTTTTATGTAAAAATGATATCCTGTCTAAACATCAGTCAGGCTTCAGAAAGCAACCTAGCACCATCACTGCGACAATGAAAGTGGTGAATGACAGTACGAGTATTTGTACAATAAGCAGAGTTGTGCAGCTCTATTTATTGACCTTTCCAAAGCGTTTGATACCGTCGATCATCGCATCTTAAAGCAGAGGCTTGTCAGTATCGGCATATCCAGCCATGCAGTGGGTTGGTTTGTGAACTACCTCTCTGAAAGGTCCCAATGTGTTCACTTTGATGGGCTGTCTTCTGAGTGGTTAAACATTGCTAATGGTGTTCCTCAAGGTTCTGTTTTAGGTCCACTATTATTCTTCATCTACATCAATAGTTTAGGTGAAAATGTTGATGAAGCTACTTTACATTTGTATGCGGACGATACTGTGATGTATTGTGCAGGTCCCTCCATTAAGGAGGCTGGTGTTAAATTGCAGGCTGTTTTTAACATTATTCAGACTCAGCTCTCTGAACTAAAGCTTATTTTAAATGTTGATAAAACCAAGGTAATGCTCTTTTCAAAAGCTAAAAAGACACCAGAGCCTGTTTTGGATATTGTAACTGTGCAAGGAAAAATACTTGAAGTGGTTACCTGTTACAAATACTTGGGTATCTGGCTTGATGATTGTCTCAGTTTTAAACTTCAGGTCAATAATCTGCTTAAAAAGCTGAGGGTTAGACTAGGTTTCTTTTTCAGAAACAAGTCCTGTTTCTCTTTTGAAGCCAGGAAAAGGCTGTGACCTTTTTACCTGTGCTGGACTATGGTGATCTGGTCTATACAGTATGAATGCACCTGCCTATTGCCTGGACAAGTTAGATGCCGCCTATCACAGTGCACTGAGATTTGTCACTAATTGTAAAGCACTTACTCATCACTGTACCTGTATACCAAGGCAGGTTTGCCTTCACTTACTGTACGGAGGCTCAGTCATTGGTACACGTTTATTTATAAAGCCATGTTGGGTAAACTCCCGTATTACATCTGTTCACTGATAACACAGAGAGTTGCAAGCAGCTATTGTCTGAGATCGCATGATGTAGTCTTGTTAGATGTGCCAAGAGCAAGGTAAGACAGCTTTTATGTGCGCAGTGCCACTTGCTTGGAACAGTCTACAACTAAAATTGAAACTGAGCAATTTTATTCCTCTGAATGTTTTTAAAGTAAGTCTAAGTGAAATGCTCTTTGAAACTATGGGTATCTGTAAATGTTGATAAGTATGTAAATGTAGCTTGTAAATATGTTGTATGATATCCTCAATTGTTTTATGTTGTTGTATGTTTTATGTCGAACCTAATTGCTGCAGGTCTCCCTTGAAAAAGAGATCTATGATCTCAAGGGACAATCTGGATAAATAAAGGTTTGAAATGAAATGTATGGTTCTGCTGAAAACTTATCTTGCATCAACATACAAATAAATGATCATTTGATCATTATTGTTTGGTGTCAGTTTTAAGTTAATTTGACTCTTATTTTGAAGGCAGCAGCAGGCACTACTGTAGGTGATCGGTAATGTGGTTTGCTTTGGAAAAGGCATATCGTTTTTACCAGGGAAATGAAAAAACTCTTTGTATGTTTGATTGTTAAAACGCGAGATAACTGCATTTTTCATTCACTTCCTGGTGCCTCAGCGTCTGTTTAATTCTGCTTTTTGGCTTGTTTATTTTAGTTTTAGGACAAAGGCGGCTACACCTAGTATTTTGTTTCCTCTAAATGTGCCTGTAAATACGTGGATTGTGTCTTTCTGTCTTTCTGTCTCCAAACAGCTTCTTGTTAACACTGGACTTATCTTCCGATCGCGTCAATCTGTCACAGTGTGCTCTGCTTACTGTTGGCTTCTCTCTGGCTTAACACTGCGACGCGCAAACAAACACTGATGTTTCCCGCTCTAAAGCTTGGGGTCGAGTCTTGGCTTGTTCGCTAAATGACACAGCTGCTCCTTCACAAGGCTTCCAGCTGGGAACATCCATTCAACTCCTCAGACTGCTGAACCTGTGCAGAATCACAGGCTAAAGGGATGATTTGAATTAGCAGGCTTTGCCAAAACATCTACGTCTCATATGAATGATGTATGATGATGTGAGCAGTGCCCTCTCTGCAGACTCTGACTGACATCTATTACAGCTGAGTAAGGAGTCTGCCTTTAAATATGCAAATTAGCGTACTGTACTGTTTCCAAATCAACAATAATCAGGTTCTTAAGATTTCCCCATGTCAATGCTTTTGGATAGTAGCAGCGGTTGAAAAAGTACTCCGATCTTGTACCATAGTGTTGAAATACTGTGTTATAATTACAAATTCTGAATTAAAATGTGATTTAAGTAAAAGCACAACAATGTTAGCATCCATACTTAAAAGATTTCAGAATAATACATGTTTTATTTATTGTTACTATTATTGATTCATTAATGTGTTTGTTGCAGCTGGTTAAGGTGAAGCTGATTTCATGTATTTATATACTGCAGGGTAATTTACTCCAGGTATATGTAATGTCTAATTAATGCTTTAATTATAAATGAAATCAGTCATTTGAATTTTGAACAATTACTAGTATCTAAGTGGAAGTGTGAAGTTTCAGAAAACGACAATACTAGAAAAATATCAAAAATGCATTAATTTAATAAATGTGCTAAGTAATTTTTCACCACTGGATAAAAGCAATTGCTGCGCTAATGAATATTTGTGAATGAAAGTGTTAGAAATTAGCAATAAAAAAGATGTACTGAAGGTTGTGCAGTTTCCCTCAATTCTTTAGAGTTATTCAGGCTGGCAGTCTTACCCTCCTTTGTGTATGTCAGCAGACGGAGGCCTCTTGCTGCCGGTCCCATCCTGGTGGACCTTCTTATCCAACGACATTGACAGAGGAGCATCTCGTACAGGCAGCCCCACCAGCACCAGCGTATCCTTGGTGACGGAGACGGCATCGTCCCCAGTCCGACCCATGTGCTTCTTGGCGTAGTCAAAGCCCTGGACAGGCTGGCAGAGAAAAAGATGACACGCACCAGGAGTCAGAGGAACCTCCATTCTTACAAGGTCACAGACATGGCAACGTGCATCAACACGTCAGGAAGTGAGTTTCAAACTGACTGGCAAAGAAGATATTTCAGTGTTTGATTTCCAAATGGATAAACAATAACTCAGAAAAGGTCATTCTTGTGTTTATCCAATGGGTGTTGTTTTCAGTTTGCCTGTCGGAGTGATGCACATCAAGCAACTCAGGAAGTAAAGCACATGCAAAAACAGCCAAAGGCAACACACTTGAATTTCACTGTACAGTACATCTTACTACACTCTACAAAGCACAGGATGATAATTGGTGAGAAAGATAATGCAAGTCAACGTCATCTATTTGTCACGCTAATGTGCAATGAGTGATAAGTCTTCCGCAACATATTTAGCACATTTTGACATCATAACGATTGTTTCAAATTGGCATAGAAAAGTATAGCAAAGACATCATAAGATAACTTTATCATGAAAGCTAATTAGGGTTGTCGTTTTAAAGTCTGCATCTCTTGTGTTTTGTGGTCATGACATTAGTTAATGTGACTGTCTGCCTGATTTAACAATGACAATAATGGTTTAAGCATAGAGTTTAAAAACCTTGAATGGCTGCATGAAAACAAGCTCTCTATTTGAAAAGAAGTATAACATGGTTAATGCAGAGAAAGGGAACACCATCAGAAAATCATTAAATAAAATACACTTCTGTATTTTGGGTATTATATTGTCTGCCTAAAAGGAAGACCAAGGACATGTGATTCGCTGCAGTAGAACATTCAAATTCATCTCAGTTTCACCAAAAATGTTTTTAAAAAGGAAAAAAGTCTCATCTTGTTGTACATCTTAAAATGTATCATTTTTTATAATAATCAGTTAGTCAATACACAGATTAAATATATAGTTATTTAAGTCGACTGTTATGGCTATCGAAGAAACTGGAGTCAGCATTTGAAGACTTTTTCAAATGATATTTTTGGTTAAATGTATCGCAGACAGGTTGGGCTGAATTAAAGGTCTGTCCTTGACTTCCCATGTGCGTGAATATTTAGAATCTGAGATTTTTAGGTGACGATGGATATTTGATTATATCAAATAAACCACCACTTTAAAATCCAGGAACAACCAAAAGAAACAAATGGATTAAGGCATTTGACTCCAATATAAACAAAGCAATGACTTGCAGCTACCTTGACGTGGTCTCCTGAATAATAATTTAAAAATCGTGTTTCTCCAATTTCAGATAAAGGTAATTGGATGGACCTCCCTTCCTGAATAAGTTGTATTATCAGTCTCTGAACACCACAGCTGGCATGCATAATGAAAAAGTTGAACAAATATATAAAGAGTGAAGCTCTTCACAGCACCTTTGAAGTCAGGGGTTTTGGCATAAAGAGACAAAAGCTGCAGAAGATGTGTTTTACTTAAGCCTCGGAGGTCTGGACACATTAATTGTATTACTAAATGCCTTTCAATTTACAGAATAGAGAACGAGGTTGGGTTACATAACTGTTTCTCCCCTTTTCTATTTTGAGCGGCTCTAAAATGGGACGCCTGATGCGTGTGAGGATGCATGCTTAATTCTGAGTGCATGTGAGGTTAGGCGGCTCGGGCATCCGCGTTGACGGCGTTGTTAATAATTCATCAGTCATACACACCACTCAGCCATCATCTAGTTTAAACACACGTGGCTGTAGCTGTGGATGGATGTCGGGAAATTGATATATGGTCATATAGAGTGAGAAAGAGAGGAAATAGGCACTCTTGCCTTGGCATTAATATATGGATTGATGGCATGGGTATGTGCACGCACCTTTTAAAGGCTGAAGTGATGCATGGTGACAGTTGTGACTATCGTGTGAAAGATGTATGGAGAGTGCTAGTGATCATCTGCCTATGGCGTCAGGCTGTTCAAAGGTTAGAAAGGGGGTTAGCTGTGTGTGTGTGTGTGTGTGTGTGTGTGTGTGTGTGTGTGTGTGTGTGTGTTTATAACGTGTGAACAAAGGGCAGTGTACTAAAGAGAGCCTATAATAATAATAATAATATACATTTTATTTGGGGGGCGCCTTTCATAGCACCCAAGGACACCTTACTGTCACAGTAGAGCGAAGGAAGCAGGACCCAAATGCAGATAAACTGATAATACCTTTATTTCAAGGATAGTGAAATATAGAACTAGGACAGACAGAATACTGACCGGTGAACACAGTCAACAACGAAAGACGAACCGACAAAGACAGACAGAAAAACCAGAACTTAAATACACACAAGACTAATCACACAAACAAGACACAGGTGAGGAGGGAGGAGAAAACACAGAGGCACCAGGTGAACACAATCGGGTAATCAGGGAGGGAAAACAGACAGAAAGCAACAGGCAGGAAACGGGGGTGAACAATTTACAAAATAAAACAGGAAACTCAAAGATAGAAAAAGACAAGACAAAACAACAACACAGACAGATCGTGACACTTACAGGGCATAGGAGCAATATAGGGAACAATTAAAACAGTGGATTTAGTGAAATATCAGCCGGGGTAAAACAAGACAAACAACAGGAAATGGACGACAGAAGAACATGCCTTTTTAGGATTTTCCCTTGCACTCCCTTTCCTGTAGAGTGTTACATAGCTTTTGTTTGCATGTTAATGGTCGGCAAAGGCTAAAATCCCAAAGTTCCCTCCTGGGTGAGTTTCTCCCTCTTTGTCTGAAACGCCTCCATTGGACTCCTTTGTTGACTTCTGTGACATAGAGGTAACTGAGTTATTTAGTTTGTTAAAATTTCAGCTATTCTGTTTAGTCTGTCATCAGATTATTTAATACGATTTGTTAAAGGCTCAGGGCAATCTCGATGACAAAGGTCAATGTCCCCCCCCCCCCCTGTGAGCCGGCCGCGAGCATGGTCGCCGCGTCTTTATTACGTCATCACAACAACACGTTAGGTTACCAACGTAAGCCTGTTCTGACATTCGGTGATATTTTTTCGGTGCTAAAACCCTTTCGGCCGAAAGCCGAAAGGGCCTTTTTAACCATTTTCGGCCGATAATTGTCGGTGGCCGAATATTCGGTGCATCCCTAGTAAATACACATCTGAGTTGACAAATATGACATGTGGGGTTCCTCAAGGCTCCATCTTGGGGCCTCTTCTCTTTAACATCTACATGCTACCACTGGCTCAGATAATGAAAAACAACAAAATAAGTTACCATAGCTATGCAGATGACACACAGATTTACGTAACAATTTCACCAGGAGACTATGCTCCAATTCAAACACTGAGTAAGTGCATTGAACACATCAATGACTGGATGTGTCAGAACTTTCTCCAATTAAACAAAGATAAAACTGAGGTAAAGGTTTTTGGAGCCAAGTCAGAACGTATAAAAGTTAGCGCTGAGCTTCAGTCTGCAATGTTCAAAACAACAGATAAAGCCAGAAATCTAGGTGTAGTCATGGACTCTGACGTGAGTTTCAACAGTCACATTAAAACAGTTACTAAATCAGTCTACTATCACCTAAAGAATATATCTAGGATTAAAAGACTAATGTCACAGCAGGATTTGGAAAAACTTGTCCATGCTTTTATCTTCAGAAGACTCGACTACTGTAATGGTGTCTTCACAGGTCTCACTAAAAAATCTATTAGGAAGCTGCAGCTGATTCAGAACGCCGCTGCTCGAGTCCTCACTAACACTAAGAAAGTGGATCACATCACTCCTGTTCTGAAGTCTTTACACTGGCTTCCTGTGTGTCAAAGAATAGATTTCAAAAATACTGCTGCTGGTTTATAAAGCACTGAATGGTTTAAGCCCAAAATACATTTCTGACCTCCTGCTAAATGATGAACCATCCAGATCTCTCAGGTCTTCAGGGACTGGTCAGCTTTCTGTCCCCAGAGTCAGAACTAAACATGATAAAGCAGCATTCAGTTATTATGCTCCAAATATCTGGAACAAACTCCCAGAAACCTGCAGGTCCGCTGCAACTCTGACTACTTTTAAATCCAGACTAAAGACTTTTCTTTTTGCTGCTGCTTTTAATTGAACTATTCATATCTTAGACTGCACTGTAACTTTTATCCATGTACTTTTTTCTTTTAAATGTTTCTTTTATTATCTTTTCTTTTTAATGACTGATTTGAAATGCCATTTTCCTAATGTCTTTCATTTTTTGTAAAGCACTTTGAATTGCCTTGTGTTTAAAGGTGCTATATAAATAAACTTGTCTTGCCATCACTGCATTATGTGTATGGATTATTGGGAGGAAACAGTAGATGTGGTGTCAGGGGTGTTGAACTGAGCGTGACGACCTGCACATCGACAGTAAAAGAGGTGTCACTCAGTGGCTGCTGGGTAATGGATGTCATGCTAGAGACTGTATGGATTCTCAGAAATGACAGGGCCGAGGGGTGTAACCATGGAGAGTGCCAGACATATCACGACTCCTATTTTACCGCACTGGCTCAAGGTCTTATCGTTTCTGTCTGTTCTTTCACACATCTTCATTTCATGTTTGCCTCTGCCTCCTCTTTTCTCCTCCATCTCTGCCTCTCTTCAACTGTCCACTGACGGCGTGTTGACTTAACAAATGGCCACGTTTCATCTTGTGCGAGCCGCTCAGTTGAATGAAGACTGCAGACAGGGCTTGTAGTATAGCCTCTGATCAGTCTGTCAGAGATTAATGGTGGTTCTCCTACACATCCAGTTAGGAGAGTGAAGGAGTAAAAGAGAAGCAAAGAAGCTGCGTCTAATCAATTCTGTTACAGAAAGTTGTCACGTGAAATGACTGCGACCACGAGCCTTCGCTGCGCCATCAAATGATCCACCCTTGTTTTCCTTTCCTGCACTATCAAACAGAAGCATCTCCTCTCGCCTAATTTTAACTCGGAGCAACAGCCAACAGCAGCTTGATGAGGTACAGCAGATGGACAATATATGCTCTAATCCCCATGCGGCCATATTGATTTAGATTCAGCTCTAGCAGGGCGAGCAGTTGAAGCTGCAGCAACAACAAAAAACTTACCAAAGACATTTAAGAAGTAAAATAAGAAACACAAAAGAGAGGAGTGGGCGCATCAGTATGTTCCTGCGCCGCTTAGATAAACTCCTCCTGGGGCAGTTAGGTGCCATGATGCAGCAAAATGCAAAATACCTTGAGCTCTTTAAATGTCAGCCTCTGCGCTGTTCTTTCATTGAACACCTTACAAATGGGAATGGATTGCCTCTACTTCTGCTGATTCCACCTTTAATGTGCTCCGCATGTAAGCCTACTATCCAATACAAGAGGAAGGCACCGAGGGAGTAAAAGCCATTTTGAAGAATGTTCCGGATGCACAGTGTACGTGCAGCGTGATGAAGTACGCCCGACTCTGCAAAATCACTCTTTAATGCTTAAACACACATGCTCACCTAATATAAAGTATTGATCAGCAGCTTTAGCTTGTCCTGCATGGTAACTGATAGCCGAGTGGATTGGGAGCTCAAGACACAACTGCATACAGACACATGAATATACACAGTAGATCAATGTGATGGAGTCCATTAGATTGTTTAGGTCTGGTTAGTAAAGGAGAAAATAGGAGTTGAGAAATGCCTTTTCAATCTCCTTGCAGAATGCTATTCTCTTTAAATAGCATTCCTCCCTATGTTGTGGTACTGTTGGTTTTTACACCGGATGCAAATCATACCAAAGACCACTAATTCAAGTGGACCCAGGCACGGTTCCTTAAACCATTTGGTATGTAGTTTTCAGAGTAATCCAACCAACTGGGCTTTAAAGAAAAGTGTACTTGGATTTAGGCCGAATCCGTGATGTGAAAACCTCCTTAGCTTCTGGGGGCGATGGACAATATTTCAGTGGTTCTGGTGTATCCAGCTAATGTTCAGCCAAGAGATAACGGCTATCTCTATATGATCTTCTCTTCTGCGCACCGTCATTGTTTACGTTCCTAAGCAACTTGAGATGAGTAGTTAAGTTATATACCAGGTATATTTGCAAAGACTCTTGGGTTGGATGTCATTATCCAGATAAATTACCGAGACAAAGATGACATGAGTGCAAATTGGAGCTTAAAGGACTCCTCCACGTTTATCAAATCTACTTTAAAGAGTAATCCAACATCACTGGCCTCTAGTTCATTACATTACATTACATGTCACTTGTTAGATGCTTTTATCCAAAGCGGCTTACATACATTCAATACTGTGGGCAATCCCCACAGGAGCAATTTGGGGTGAAGTGTCATGTCCAAGGACACAGCGGAATGTTGACTGCAGTGGGATTCGAACCAGTGCCCCTGTGATCCGAAGATCAGCGAAATAACCACTGAGCCACAACCATCAAAGATGCAAGTATGTTTCAACTCACACTCCTGACCTGGGTTTGGGAAAAATGTGTGCTTTTTACTAAATGTACAATTTCCCTCCGGAATAGGGACCTTTTCCATGTTATCCGCTTTATAACTTAGATTTCTGACACATTTCAGTGTTTCTTAAGGCCCTGACACACCTACCCGATTTTGGGAGTCAGAGGCTGTCAGAGGCAGTCGGGCATTCGCGGCGCCCTTCTCAGGTTGGTGTGTCCCGCACCGTCGTTGCTTTACGGCACATTTTCACACCTCCCGCGGCCGATTCAACATGTTGAATCGGCCAAAGAAAGTCAGCCAAAGAAATCACTCTGATTGGCTGTTGCCTCTTTTGAATGACGAATACACACTACCGCTGCCTTCTGGTAAGGACAGTTATTGCCACTCGTCGACTGAAGTCTTTGCGGTGTGTTCGTAGGCGGGCGGCGTAGGCGAGCGGCGTAGGCGAGCGGCGTAGGCGACCCAGGCGAAGTAGCGGACGTAAAAGTCGGGACGCCTTCGGTACGCGTTCTTTGGTGTCAGGTTGGTGTGTAGCGGCCTATAGGGCATAACAAAGATACCAATTACAGAGGACATTCAATCTTTACATTTCGGCGAGTCTTGTATAAATATAAACCAGAAAACATTTAAACGTATGTGTATTCAAGACACTGGAGTGTTTAGTTCCAGTTTGCCTCTTGCCGTAAACTCTTCCCGAACTAAACCCGTGTGAAATATGTATCACATTTGTTTGTGCATGCCACTGCTTGGGATAGGGACAGTGTAAATACCACTGTGCTTTAGAAACAGTGATTGTGGCCTCGCGGCACCATTTTAGAAATCACATATTTTGGGGACTCTTTAATATTTGATGCGTTCTTTCGGAAAACACAAAATAATGTTTGCAGTAATTGTAAAAGCAAACAAAACCTTTATAGTTATAGCTTGTACATTTAAATTGTAATACTGTAGTATAAAGAGACACACTAAAGACACATCTATACAAACTCTATATTTATGCTCCATCACGAAAATGTCCTGCCTACCCATCCATGGCTTCCCTCACATCTCCTCCTCTTGAGGAATGAGGGGAGGGACAGGCTGAACCAAAAATAACCAGCGGATCAGCTGACATCCACCATAACAGCTGTAACCACCAGCGTTTTAACATGTTTTTGTACCAGTTATCTGTCGCTAATCATCTGCTATGGGTCTAGCCATGATAACGTACATAATTCAGTGGAGATACTATAGAAAAAAGAATTGGGTTGGGGGTCTGTGAAGGCTTCCCGCTGAGCCACTGTGAGATGAGAGTGGCTTCATGTGAGAGGATAAACCTTGAAAAGGAAAGGAGCTGGCAGAAAGGCTGATGACACAAGCTTGAGTCACATTTTATGGATGCTACATAATAAAAATAGATTGGTTTGGTTTGCAGGTTTTGAGGGCTCTTTTCCACTATGCATGTAGATGAGTCTGGGTTAAAAATGGCTTCTTCTGGCTGGCAGCTTATTTGCCCATTTTTACGAGATTTTTTACTTCCCGATCGGCTCACCCCAAATCAATTTAAATCATACACAATGATTCTAGTTCTTTTTTAACCTTTCCTCGTTACCACTTCCTCTCTCCCTCCTATTGATGTCCAAATAGCCAATGAGGATGGAGGAATGTCTACAGCCCAGAAACCACATGCACACATTTACCCAGCAACAAGGACAGGCAGCACATACAATCAGCAGCCAAAAAGGCAGTACAATACTTGTTCATTAAAGACAGTCAGTGAAAATCAGGAAGTAGTGCAGAAACTAATATTTCATTAAATAATTATTTATCCAGATGTTTTCAAGAGTGGTAGTATGAGGTAATTGTTCATAGTCAGTGTATTACCTAAAGTAGATTGTGGTTGACATGATATTAATACTGCTTTAACTTGCCATCAGACAGAGCTTGCAGGGATGTGAAGCTGTGATGTGAAGATGTGAACGCAGGGGGCCCCCCCCCCTAACGGTTTTTTTCGAGACTGTGTCTCAGGGCATCTATATATATCTATATATATCTATATATAAACATCTATATTGATTTCTGACTTTTCTACATCCAACTCACAGGTTTATCATTACTTTGAGAACAAAGATTATTAATGTAACCCTTTTAGAAGGGAAGATATGGTAATTTGTTCAGGGAATGTCATTTTCGAGCCTGAGACCTGAAAAACAGGCTCAGGGTTGAACAGGTTATCTTTGCTCTAGTTAAAGTGAAAATCCCTCAGTTGGTTAGTATGTTATACACACAATAACACAAACTAACTAACCAAACAAGGCAGTGGTGGACCAGAAACTTCCATATTCTGCAGTTTGGTGTCTAGTTTTCTATATATATATTTCCCTCCCACACACATGTACCCCCTGCCTGAAACGCCTCCAGTGGACTCCTTTCTTCTGGAAGATAGTGACATCACTGTGTAACAGCGCTTTATTGGCTAGCACTCCATCACATTGTACGTGATATGTTAATGTTGTTGACCAATCACAACAGATCCGGCCAGCTAACCAATCAGAGCAGACTGGGCTCTGGTTTCAGACAGAGGGTGAAAAGAGGTGCTGCAGCACAGGCAGTATGAGAGACAAATAAAGAGCATTTTGAACATTAGAGCATGGAGACATGTCACAGTAGAGGCACTGAATAAAAATATTAACCTGAAAAGGAGCAGAATAGGGCCATTTTAAATATAGCGTACATTTTTACTGAGTGATTTTTTACATGGTTAAAATGTGCTCCTGTCTGTTTCTTCCAAACTGGGGGTGTGCCGACTGCCTCCTATTATAGGTATACACTGACTGGATCACTATCTCATACAACCCCACTCAATAACAAGCCAAACTATTCCTTTAATGTTTTAATCATGTTGTCAGTCAGTCAATTAGTCAGTAATCCTCCTAACCAGTGCTTAGTCAATACCTGGTGGTGGTAACTGCCCTCCCTTCGATATGAGGTCTACAAGGAGAGAGTCATAGGGACAAGGTAAGGAAGGGGTTAATATAATAACAGAACACAATAGTGGACAATGGGAAATGACCAGATAGAATAGGATAGGATAGGATAGAAAGCATATTAATTGTGTGGAAATGGTGTTAAAATTAAGAATTTAGGATACAATTAAAAAAGAAAAATCAATTATGTATACAGTGATTTGAGTAATATCTGGATTATAATTAATCCAGAGTATACTTTTAACCTAACTGTGGCATTAAACAATCTTTACTACTCCACTTGTTGCTACCTTGCATAGAACAGCACTGCATTATGGGTACATTTGGATGTATTCCTTTACAAAAATAATTGCTTGTTTTATCAGGATATCACTGAGGAGCATGAGGAACTTTGTAAAAATGTTTGTCAAACTGTTTTACTGACGGTCAAAGCTATTTAAGTCTTCTTTGATTCGGAGGAAGAATGATTCTGTATGCTGGTTTATTCATTACATTGGGGAGCAGTCTGTTTGTTTGTTTGTTTGTTTGTAGCCTTTATTTAACCAGGTGAAAGCCCCTTGAGATCAAAAGATCTCTTTTTCAAGGGTGACCTGCAGGACATTAGTTACACATGTAACATAAAAACAACAGAACAACAATAAGGATGACATACAACATAATGTGCAGGGTACAGTTTACAAACTCTGTACATTATGTCTGTGTTAACAGCTAGACCTGAATGAGACCAGAGCGTGGTCGATAATTATTCAGTGCATGTGTAGTGCAATGACAGGAATCCTCAGAGGAAGTATAATCATGATATCAAATGGGAAACCTACTTCCAGATTTTCTGAGATATGTTCAGAGCCTTTTCAGATGAAATGAGGCCGGCCAGCTTATTGCCTGTTTACCACTTCACTGGCTGCAAGCAGCTGTTGTTCTGGCGTCATTCATGTGCAGGAGAACAATCTGACCTGAGCACAGCAGCTGGTGGCAATCCATTTGACACATGCTCATTTCAAGTGATTGATTTGTCTTTAGCGTCTAATAAGTTGATGTAGTGTGAACGCTATTATTGTGAAAGGGCCAACATTACCCCCAAGGTTCACTTCCAGTACACTGAGCCCGGCCCATTGTTTTTCAGCCGATTAGACTTCAAAGCATGCGTGATTAGCAATGACCACGGGCGATTGGGCAGAGAGAAAAACAAGACTGCACATATGGGATTACATTTTTCTAAACTGAAGACACAACTGCGTGATGTGTCGCTCATTCAAAACCTGACTATGATAACTTTGATAACATTTCTATGTAGAATTAGCATTTGGGACATTGTTAAAGGGAACATCCTCTGAATGAATTCCAATAAGTTGTGTCCATGGGTATAGTCTGAAAGTTGCTTCATGAGGAATAAATAGCAGACCTGATTTTCTTCTGCCACAGATGTTTGTTTTCTTTTTTACACCCATATGAACTTTCTTATTATATCTTTCAAAACAATTTTCTTCAATTTTTCTATGAACTACTGCTAATATTAATATATGGCGCTAGGATTTATTTCACCATTAGTAGCCAAACCCTTTTAAACTGTGATATTCAGCTTTCATATTTGTTTAATACTAATACATCAGTGTATATGTTTGTTAAATATTGTAGTACAACATTTGTGCACATTTTGATTTAATTTAAAATTATCTTCCGTTGGACATTTTACTTAGATTTTTATAAATAAGTTTTGATTTTATTTGTTTATTGTACATTATTACTTGAGCTTCTTAGGTTAATAAATAGTGTTAGTCTTTTAAATGACTTTTTAATAATGTATCAATTGTATTCTAAATTAGAGCAACAGTCACATTTCCCCGGGGATATTTAAAGTATTTGGACTCTGATTCTTCAGTCCCATTTAAAAAGAACATGAATTAGAAAATGGACGTAGTTCCCCTTCAAGGTGAAGCAGTGCTGTTAGAACACAATGGGGTGAGACTTTACTCAATAAGAGTGATGCAACAGCTGGTTATCATTAATAATTGGTAAATGAAAGAAGAACATGAAGGAAAAAAAGTAGAAAGAGAAAAAGGATATAGACATGAAACAAAATGAGAAGAAATGGATAAAGATGGAGTACGTTTGAGTAAGTCTTACCTTGGAGCGGGTTTTGAAGTTCCTGAAGGGGCCACTTTTAAACATGACCCGGTTCCGCTTACACATAATGAAGGACACCATGACGATAACCACCATCAACAGGAAGAGAGGCGTCAGAACGGCCACGATCCACAGGTTGCTGGGCGGTGTCTTCACCACAGCTGCAAACAAACAAATATCATTTATCAGTATTTAAGTATGCATTCAATCACTTCTGAGCAGTTAAGCTACTTAATGAACTGCCAGTAAGCACAAAGCAGAAATAAACACTTTTCATTTCTACCTTCCATCTTTTACATTTGTATCGCCTAAAAGGGAGACTGCAGAAAAAAAGAACTCCGATCATATCTATATTTTTAACACTCAATATTCTTAAAAAAAGATGCAAGAACTGAACATCACTCAAGTATAACATACAGTGTGGCAGAAAAGGACTGACATTTTTTGTTGATATTCACATCCAATCATTTGAATATCATAAGGGAGGAAGTCTAGAAAATATATCTAATCTAAGAAAAACGAAATGTGTTTTTAAGCAAGACAATTAACACAGTATTGAATGTATTGTCCATTAGCTACCATTCATCTAGAGCTCGATATGAGACATGTTATAATACAATGTTAAATCCTCGATTTATTCCATCCTACATTTTCTGGCTGTAGCTTCAAATTTAGCCCAACATTTTCTCATCTCACTAAGCAAAAAAGCAAAAACTGGTAAGAGTATCTCCCAGAAATGTCAATATGTTCATTTAAATTGTACCAAAAATGCATAATAAATCTCAAAACTGTAATGAAAGTAAACACATCGAGAACTGTGTTTCAAAGTTAAAAAGACTTGTTATAACATAAAGATGATCACATCAATGTCCTCCTTATAACTAAGGTTTCCAAGCAGTTTGCCTAAGAGATGTTTTCATCTAAATGATGAATGCAGTTTGTTTCCACTGAGCCTGTGAAGGCAAGCGGAATACATTTGATAAGAACACAGTGTTCAGCTGCAGGCTGAGCGCGGTGAGGAGGAGCTGTGAGAGGCGCTGACGGTTGTTTCTCCAGTTTCTTAATTATAGATTCTGATGAAAGGTGAGAGGGAACACTCCGTCCTCATCAGCAGCTACAGTTTGAACGTCTACCCAAACAATAAACACTACTACAACCCTCTGAAGTTATCCTAAAGATGAAAAAAGGGAATGCTTTTGGTAATGTCTTTACAATGGCAGCAGAATACGAAGGGTGCATCCATAATATGTTTGTAACCATTTGCATAAAAGCTAAATGCAAATAAATGTGTCTGTAAAAATGCAAAAGCCAAAGGGATATAGTCCTATTTTATGCTAATTGTTTCTATAGCTGGAATAAATCAGCAAGTACATAGACAGATGGGAATTGAGCAGTGTGTGTATATTAATGTTGCATTTCAATCGCAGTTAGCTATGTTTAAAACAGATATAGGACATGGATGTATTGTCAGTGGAGTTTTTTCTCTTTCCTCCCAGGACTGAGATTGATTCCATCTCACTTTAAGGCTCAGAAATTAGGTTATGTCTTATCTGTATAAAAAACAGTGTAACAATGATCATTGGTTGTTTACAGGGGGTTGTGTTGAATATTTGTTTAGCTGAGAAATAGTGTTGCCTGTATATTTCTGAGAAACATATGTCCAGCTGGTTCTTAGCTGGTTCTTAGCTAACACAGGCAAGCTCACACACAGACTGGTAGCCTTAAACAGTCAATGTAGATACTGTTAATCATTTAATTTATAGCGGGATATTTGCCTGATTCAAACATATTGGGTATATTGTTGTTATACAAGTCCATTGTTAGTCTTTTGGAGGACCAAACCTTAGAGGTGGTTGTGGTATGTCACAGTTATATATGTGGCTCCTTTATTTGAAATGGTTTGGAACCAAGACACCTGTCAAGTATGTCCAGTGTAGATTTATACATTTCATATATTTGATTGTGTATGTCCTATGAGAGATCCCCAGGAGACTGATGCCAAAAATGCTCCCAACAAAAAGATGTTTGCGTGGATTGGCTGACCTGCTTTTTCCTTTACACACATGATACTTAATATCCAAAACTGTTTTTTTCACAACACCATGACCTTGCTGACCTCTCAAACTCTAGCCCACTCCCACACTCCCTTCCATATTCATGGGGCTTCAACCTAAAGCGCCTCACACTCAGGGACCTTACACGGCTTTGTAAACATATTTATGACACTGTATTCAATATTAATTCCAACCATTTGTGTACTCATATGTGCCTTAAAGCTGGCACCTTACCGTTAAAGATGTATGTAATATGTATACAACAATGTATCATATACACAACAACCTGTACATACTGCCACACACAGATGTGCTGCATCTTTGCTAAACATCTTTGCTCCTATATGTAGCATTTACCAAGGATTTGAAAGTTAATGCAGTATGACTTAATCTGGTTGGGATTATAGATAGGAAATGTACCTGCTTCTTCATGGTTGGATGAATTTAGTGTAAGTCGCCTCTGATAAAAACATCAGCTAAATGAAATGTAATTTAATGTATTTTGAATATACTATAACCTCATCTGCAATTCATCTACTATTTGCACATTCAGGTTGAAACTGCATTTCCTTGTACTCTGCTCTATAACAATCACTTTGAATCTGATTAAATATTGTAACGTATAAAGCTTACGTTCGGCCTGCACTTGTACGAAGTATCCCAGGGTCAGAGCCATGGTCTGTGAGTCCAGGCTGCTGAGGGTCTTGGCGGCGGTGAAGCCGGTGATGGGGGCTCCGTTCAGCTGGGCGTAGTAGGTCATCTCCGCCGGGTTCTTGGGACCGGGCAGCCGGCGCATGCTCACCATCTGTAGGAGAACAGTAAAAAAGTGTTTAATATCTCAAGCTGATAAAGACATTCAGTCAATCAAAAGTCTGAATCATAGTTTATTTTTGAACACTTTGACGCACAACATATCATATGTAGCCAAATGTAATATACCATCCTTAATCTCTTCCCCCTAACAGATTAAAAATACTTTATCCACGGTTGTCCAATCAAAACCCTTTGATCACTTGCAGCGAGATAACTGCACATGGGGAAGACACTGGAGGATAACTGAGTCACTTGGAATCTCAGTTTCTTTTCATCATACATCTAACACTTTTTTTTTGGAGAACCCATCACACGGTTCTAATCAAGTGTTGTAATTTAATTTTGTCATAAAAAGCAGGGATGTGTGGTATTAAATGGCTGGATGATTTCTCCCCCCCCCCCCGTACTTCTTGTATCTTCCTTCTGCAGCTATAAAACTGGTCATCTGTGACTTCCCATAAAACCTGGCGGGTGTGTCGGCATAAAGCTAGGGATCGTTCATTTGAACAATGGGTAGGGAGTCGACAAATACAGAGAACAAAATACACAAACCTATGTACTGCTGAATACAATACCACCATAACGTCTCAATATAATGTTAAGATCGCCATATTTTAAAGGGCCATACCCTCTTAGAGCAGTACAATAAAATCACATATATGTTATTTTCCAAAGTATGCTGTACCATAAGTGTTTCTTAGCTTGAAACATGTTAAGCATACATCATCATTTATTATTTTGCCCATTTATTCATTTTAAAATGTGAGATTATGATTGTAAGCAGTGCCAGGTTTAAGAGCCTTTCTTGTCGATGCATTTAAAGAAACTTTGATATGTGACGAGCTAGTAGAGCTCGTCACAGAGCTGCTTAGTGCATATCATAGACTAAAACTGTAAATGCAGTTAGCAAAGATGGGCTGAAATGGGAAACTGGTTCTTTTAAAGCAAATACAAATACAAGTATAAACAAACCATATGGTAATACAGACATTATTTATGTGCAGGAATGAGTTTTAAACCCCGAAATGAGTTAGCATTGTAGCACTTTCAGGTTCCCTTATCTCGAAGTTAACGTTTTTGTTTAGATGTTTGAAATAAGGTCTGTTGCTGAAGAGATTTTCACGTTTTCTTCTTCGAAAATAAAGTAAATACCTCACTGGTGAATGTTTTAAGCTTCAGTGTGTTATAAAAACACAATAGTTGCTAACAAGTGGCTAAATGAGACTACTAAACATCATCACGCCGAACATTAGCTATTGTTAGTTCAGCACAGGTGATGCTCAGTCATGTGACGTCATGTAGTTTGTTTATAGCCTTACATTAGCTTTTAACTTCTAGCTATAGCATTTACCCTTATAAAAAAAATATCATAAAAGTGGTGATTATCCTGCTGAGCAAAACGTGTACAACATAAAGGTGTTGCCACTGAGATTATTTTCTGCAATATTCTGAAATCCAATGAAAGATCCCATTGCTTTTTGCCGAGGGAGCCCTTGTGATGCTAACTTCTGTGTTGGCCTACACATATACGTTATCACTGAACCACTCTATGACAGACTCAAATCACACCCCACCCACCTGTACGGTGTAGCTCCCTACGGAGGTGGCCCTCCGGGCTCGAGCCGCCCGAGTGCCCTGCCTCCCGGCCACCAGGAAGAGCTCGGCCAGACGCTGCTCCATCAGACTGGCAAAGCTCTGGTAGTTGGCCTCCAGAGAGGAGCTGTCTACATCCTGGATCACTGTGAGTAGAGATAAGAAGGGAAGGGTTAAGGAGGTAAAGAGGGGTTCAGGAGGGCATAGTGTGGGATAATTGACAATATGAGGAAGGATAGGAACAGAGGGAAGAAAGGTAAGGATCAAGGGAGTGAGAAAATATATAAGGGAGAGATTTGTGGTATTGATATAGAGGAGAACAAACTAAATAAAGCAGATGAGATATGAAAGAGGAATGGATGATCTATCTTTTCATTTTAAAGCTTCCATTATAGCAATGCACTGTGGGCCTCCATCTCAAACACACAGACATAAATACACAAACACACCCATAGGTGCTTGTATCAATCTTTCTCTTAAGTGTGTTTCTTACTAGAGGCTAAAGTAACTGAGATGGATCAGTGGACACACACACACACACACACACACACACACACACACACACACACACACACACACACACACACACACACACACACACACACAGACAATGAGAGAGCCAATACTATTTTGCTGAATCACACAACAGCGGGCACCGGGGCATTTAACTAACGGCTGTTCTGTCCGATCGATGCGGATCATGATTACCGTTGATCACCCAGCAGCTGTGTGTGTGTGTGTGTGTGTGTGTGTGTGTGTGTGTGTGTGTGTGTGTGTGTGTGTGTGTGTGTGTGTGTGTGTGTGTGTGTGTGTGTGTGTGTGTGTGTGTGTGTGTGTGTGTGTGTGTGTGTGTGTGTGTGTGTGTGTGTGTGTGTGTGTGTGTGTGTGGGCTGGTATCATGGTGGGGGAACACATAAAGCATATTGAGCGAGAGCAATTTACCTGTTATCACCCAATAGTTCTTGGTTGCTGTGGACGTGTTGAGATTATGGTATTCAAGGGCTGCAGAGAAGGAGAGAAAGACAAAGTTAAGTTATTAGAGAACTTTTTCAACACCACATTCATTTGGGGAAACAGGCTAATGCATTTTGTAAAGTGCATACATATAGTTCCTACTTAGCACTTTCCAAATAGTAAAACAATTTTCAAGAAGAAAGTATTTATTTTTGTATTTTCACTTATTTCCTGAGGGCCTTTGGGATAATGATTATTTGATTTGATCCCATAGACAGTCAACGATTGAGACAGAAGATGGCCTAATATTGTGTGACATGACTTCAGACTACTCCAAACACATATAAAAGCTCTACCCTAAAGCATTTATGAGGTTTCGACTGTGGGAAAGCGCAACAGTGTATCTCCTTAACCGACTCAGACATATTTAGGCTAGCTACTCTGGGATCCAACCGCACACATGATGATGTGGCTACCTCCCCTGCTATTCTACCTGGTCGGCTACCTGGTGCTGGGGATCTCCGGGACCGGTGTCGCTCCCGACGCTGAACACCCACAAGACACACCTGCGCTTGATGTGTGGCCTACCCCAGGCACCATGGCTTCCCTGGATTCAGTAAGAGTTTTTGCCATGATGACAACCCCGCTGCTCGCGGAGGACCTTCTCTCATGGACGTCTCATCTACCCGGGGTTCTGCCGCGAGGACTACGCTGTCTATGGGCCCAGGGAAATGGGAGACTTTCCACCTATGCAGCGCGCACTTGCGACGGTAAGCCGACCAGCCCAGGAGGACCTGGCTTCTAATTCTCCTACTCCTGATGTCGGGTAACGTGAAACCGAATCCAGGCCCAGAACTGTCTCAGCTGCAAACGCCAGAGGAGTTTAGAACGAAAGACGGATTACGTCTTTTTCACCTTAATGTTCGCAGCATGATTAATAAGATGGACTCCATCAGAATATGGGCCGATTCGACTGACTCTGATATCATTGTCCTTTCTGAGACGTGGCTCAAAAAGTCGATTACAAATGATATGATAAATATAAAAGATTACAATGTCTTTAGAACAGACCGTGTGGGAAAAGGGGGCGGGTTGCGATTTATGTTAAAAACCATTTAGACTGCACCTGCATCGAATCCCTAACAAAACCAAAATGCTTTGAACTCTCTGTAATTAAACTATCGCTCCCAAGTGGTTCAGACATTATAGTGGTCGGATGCTACCGCCCGCCCGCTGCCTCAAGCGAAGCCACGAATATACTCTCCAATCTTCTCCATAACTGGACTAAATCCGAGATGGTTTTACTCGGAGACCTAAACTGGGACTGGCAAACGGATTTACAAAACTCTTTCAAGGACACTTGTGACTCTCTCTGTTTGGTGCAACTAGTTAACTCGCCAACTCGGTTAAACCAAAAAGATTTAGAGAAGTCCACTTTGATTGATGTTATTCTTACAAACGCACCTCACCGTTTCTCCGCAGTAGGCACGTTTTGTAATGATATAAGCGACCACTGCGCAATTGCTTGTGTGAGAACCTGTAAGATCCCTAAAGGAAAGCCACGTCTCATTCACAAGAGGCGATTCAAACATTTCGATGAGCAGGCGTTTCTACATGATGTTTTTAATAGTGATTTACACATTGTTTCACTTATGACCGATGTTGAGTTAGCATGGAATTATTTTAAATCCACCTTCTTGGCTATATGTGACAAGCATGCTCCTTTTTAGGACATCTAGGATAAGCGGTAAAGACAACCCCTGGTTTAATGATTCTATATCCTCTCTCATTCGACAGAGAGACACTGGGCTAAAGCAAAGAAATCGAATATTCCATTAGATTGGAATCTGTATAGGACATTAAGAAACAAATGCACTAAGCTGATTAAAGACTCTAAATGTGCCTACTATCTTAATGCAATACATGACAATTTGAATAACCCTGCAAAGTTTTGGAAACTTGTTAAATCCTCCTCAGGTTCTATCACTCCAAACAGCCTTCCTGATCTCTTAAGGGTAAATCAGAGTGAAATCAAGGGCAAAATGGATATTGCAGACAGCTTTAATAATTATTTTATTTCTGCTGGCTCAATCTTTGATTCTAGCAACTCAGGGATGATCGCTGCAGAAGGAGAGCCAGGTCCTCCGCCACTTGACCCTGATCAACTGTTCACCTTTGCCCCCATCTTGACCGCTCAGGTTCACAAAGCTTTAATGAGCCTAGATGTAAAGAAATCTTCAGGCCCAGACCATAATATTCTTAACGAGTCTCAGTCAGGCTTCAGATCAGGCCATAGTACTACTTCAGCGGCTATGCTAGTCTCAAATGACATAATTGAAGCACTAGACAAGAAAAAACACTGTGCAGCATTGTTTGTTGATCTGTCTAAAGCTTTTGATTCTGTGGATCATGCATTGCTACTGCAGAGGCTTGGCTGCATAGGTCTTGGCAAAATGGCTTTGAGCTGGTTTAAAAACTATCTATCTGAAAGAACTCAGTGTGTCTCAGTAGAAGATTATACCTCAGCTGCTCTTACTGTAAACAAAGGTGTTCCACAAGGTTCTATTTTGGCCCCTGTCTTATTCTCCATCTTTATAAATGAACTAGGAAATGGGATAAACCCAGCACGGTTTCATTTATACGCCGATGATACAGTTGTTTACACAGTGGCTTCCTCTTTAACTCAGGCCATAGAGCTTCTACAGGATGCTTTTAATACACTGCAACACTCCTTGCTAAGGCTAAGACTGGTCCTTAATGCAAAAAAGACCAAGTACATGACCTTCTCTCGCTCTCGAGCTAATACAGCTGTCCCTCCGATTCTGACACTGGAAGGGACATGCCTTGACAAAGTAGCATCCTACAAATATCTGGGCATATGGATTGATGAAAAGATGGCCTTTGATGTTCATATTGGGAACCTACTGAGAAAACTTAGACCTAAACTGGGCTTTTTCTTCCGTTTAAAGAAATGTTTCCTGTCTGAAGCCAGGAAGAGAATTGTGCAGAGTTCCTTTCTGTCTGTATTAGACTATGGCGATGTGATCTATATGCATGCTCCTTCCTCCCTGCTTAAAAAGCTGGATTCTGCGTACCATACTGCTATACGTTTTGTAACGGGTGCAGGCTCTCGCACCCACCACTGCACTTTGTATCAGTCCTTAGGATGGTCCTCTCTGTACCAAAGAAGACAATCACACATGTTGATTTGTATCCTTAAGTCATTGCTAGGTAAGCTGCCCTTATATATCTCCAGACTTCTGTCCTTTTATACTTGCTTTTTTAATACCAGACGAGCAGCAAATGGGATGCTTTTAAATGTTCCTTTGATGCAGTCAGAGCTTGGTAAAGCTGCATTCTCCCACTATGCTCCCTTTTTATGGAATACGCTGCAAGTAAAACTTTGTCTAGAGGCACTTCCTACTGTAAATGCTTTTAAAGGTATGCTACGATTAGCCCTTCATGAAACATGTAACTGTTTTACCTGATGCTATTGCTGATGTGATTATGCTTCTTGCCACTGCACAAATGGCCTTCTGTATTTATATTTGAATTGTATGTTTTTTGTTTAATGCCCTTGTTTTATGTTGAAACTTGTTGTGTGCCGTGTTGGTCAGGACTCCCTGGAAGAAGAGATCTTGTATCTCAATGGGACATTCCTGGATAAATAAAGGATAAATAAAAAATCCTCTTTTCATCACTAATGTAATAACCAACTTTATTCATAATCCTTCATTGAAAATAACTAGATTATTTTATATTGTTTGTGTCCAAATGTAAAGGTATAGACATGCCTTTAAATGCCCCATTGTTGGATTAGCATGAATGACCTTGTCGACATCCACGTAATAAGGAAACACCTCCTTTGGAGTCCTTTGTTTACTTCAGTAACATAATGACATCACTATGTAACTCTTCCGCTTATATTGGCTAGCACTCCAACAGATTGTATGTGATAGGCTAAGGTGGGAGACATCTCTAAGCTGTTGATCAATCACAACAGGGCCAGCCAGCTAACCAATCAGAGCAGACTGGGCTCTGGTTTCAGACAGAGGGTGAAAAGAGGTGCTGCATCACAGTATGAGAAGATAAAGAGCTTTTTGAACATTAAAGCATGGAGACATGTCCCAGTAGAGACACAAAATACTAATATGAACCTTAACATTCGCATCATATATCCTCTTTAAGTATTTCCCCAACTAAATCTAAATCGTTCTAGAAGCATCCAAGTTATTTTTCAATTAGCATCATTATACAGAACAAGGAATGATAACAGCACAGCAGGCTGTAACTTACAACAAAGTGAGTCTTGTTTTAAAAATACCATACTACAAAAATAACTGAAATGTAAACAGAGGGCTGATGGAACCGGAGGGCAGCTCGCCTGGTTTCTCCTCTGTGTTCCAGTGCTTTCTCTCTCCGAGTGCAGCGGCTAAACTAGTGTTGAACCGGAGGCTGGTAGCTCCTCTGTGCCGTGCTGTGTGACTGACTACAGCTGACAGCCTGTCAGCAGGCAGGAGACGCTGCAGAGTGTGGGAGGACTTTAAAACTGAGCTTTGACCGCATTTGAATTATTTTACTGTGTGTGCTTCTTCTACCACAGATGATGAAAAGGTAATAGGTTCACAAGACTCATGTCGGCCGTAAGATTAGGTTCAGTGATCTGGACTGTAATAGATTGATGAATAGTATATTTAAAGCACAGTATATTATTCCCCATGGGGAAATGCAGGTATGTTGTTGCTATACACATTTACAGTTCAAATACAGACACTAAGCCTGAAATACAAACACGCACAAAGTCATGCATTTTATGGAGAGGTGTCAGAGGAAAGGGCTGCCGCTTTTCGGCAATACAAAAATCATGTGCAGTTAAGAAAATACAGGGACCCCAAGACTGTGACAAATCATTTAGTTATCCCCAGTATAACTTAAGGATATTTGTGTGCAGTTTGTAGAACAATCACCTTAGCTAGTATTTTCTTTTTAGTGAAGGCATTTAAGATGTGCTGAAAAAGGATTTGGAAAACTTTGATTTGTCTACATTG